GCGACACACATATCTTGAGCTCAACTCCTGCGGGAACTACGATCGGACGGAATGATAGAGAGTGCGGGCAAATGGGTGTAACCATAATGGCGGGTACGCTCGGGTGGATCATTGAGGCTCCGGCCGCCACCGCGTAAGCGGTACTCCCGGTGGGCGTCGAGACGATGAGTCCGTCGCCCTGAACTGTCGTGATATGTTTGCCATCGATGTATAGATCAATGTTTGACAAATAAGGCGAAGGCCCGCGATCTACAACCACTTCGTTGAGCACCAAATGGCATGTGTTTTGTTTTGACAGCTTCTCGATAGCAGTAATTGTCTCATTCTTGCGGACAATTAGACATCGGAGACGACTTCTTAAGGTAAGAGCCGCGTGACCTGTAGTTTATATTTGGTTAATCAAGTGATAATTGTAAAAAATGTGTCATAAATGCTACCATCGAGAACAGTGGACACCTGATCCTGAAAGTTGTCGAACTCGAAGGGAGTCAAGAATCCAAGTGAACCCATATGGAAGGCCATCACTGGCGGCACACTTTGCTATCGACGCCAATATTAATTATATGATTACTTTACTATTTAATTAATAATTTTATAACAATTTTTGCTTGGTTAAATGTACAATATAATTTATAATCACATATTTATCCCTAAATTAAATTAAAATAATTTGCTAATAATTTGGCAAAATTCACTTTTTGTGTATTAATTAATTAGAATATTAATTAATTGTTATAACTTAAACGCTTTGATTGTGTTTCTCATATACTGTATAATAACTGTAATAATAGTGTTGGAGAGAAATATACCTGAAAGAGGGAGGAGGCGTAAAGGAGAGTGCCATCACCGCCGAGGCATATAATAAAGTCCACTTTGTCTGTCAGGTCATCCATACCCTCTCAAATAACTGTAATAATAGTGTTGGAGAGAAATATACCTGAAAGAGGGAGGAGGCGTAAAGGAGAGTGCCATCACCGCCGAGGCATATAATAAAGTCCACTTTGTCTGTCAGGTCATCCATACCCTCTCTGAAAGTGCAGAGTTTGTCTTTGAATGGTTGAAACAATTGGTTGGTCTTAAGCTGTGGGTCATCCATGACCGCCGACTCCACGTAAACCGACATCTTTTTCTCCTGAAAAGCGACAAAAGTTTCGTTAATTTCTGGAAACAAAACTATTAAAAGTTGTTTCATAAACAAAAGAGAAACTAATTAATACATACATAAAAACGGAGATAATATAAATACATAAGGATATAAATAATAATAATGATAATAATAATGTTTGTGAGAAATACCCAGATTAGCCAACGAACTAAATCAATGAATGGCTGAATGACAAGCGAGTCGTGAATTTTCTTGATAACCAAAACACTGATCGGAGGCTTATTCCACGTCAAACGCTGAGACGCCGGGTCTTGGATTGTCCTGAAAATACATTTGTTTGCATATTTTGTTTGTTAATTATAATTGACATAATTCTCGTATACATTTTTACGAGCGGATAATTAAATCCACTAAAAACAACACAAATTTATTAATTAATTAAATAAGAAAACTGTGTTTCAAATTATTATTATATGAATTTTATTGACCCAAAACTTTGTATGTCTCTCTCATAGAGTCTCTGTTATTTAAACATTCAAATTACATGCAAATTAATTAGATTTATGAAAAGCTGTTAACAAAGGAAAAATGCATTAAAGTAATAAAGTTATTAGCTTATTTAATTGAGTTTAAATGTAACTTAAATAATATTGGGTTTTATATATCAAACAAATAGAAAAACACAAATAAGATATAAATTTTAATAAATTCATTTTACTTACAAAAGAATTTTTTGCTGTAATTGCATAAACTTCATGACTATTATGTTATGTTTTTATATCAATTTCCACATTAATATGAAATATATTTTGCGAAAATAGAGTAAAAAATTAATAAACATAATAATTGAAAAGTTTATAGTCTTATATAGAGGACCAGTAGTTTTATTTGTGGGGATTGTCTTATTTAAAAGTCTTATTGAGAATTTCTGTTTCCATAAATTGAAAATAATATTAAATACCAGAAGGAGTGTTGGTTTGCGAGCGATAATTAATTAAACACATTAAGCGATGGCCCGCCCTATCAGTGCAATCAGACCCATATCTAATACCCTTTCAAATACCGAAGGCTAACACAATGTTTTCTTTCGTACATATGATCTCTAATTGTTATTTAAGTAGCAATTAGTCGCTTAAGACATTCATTGACGAGTTATTCACACTTTTTGGGAAATTGAATAATAAAAACAAGATATTACTGACGAAAACAAAGTTTTATCGGACGTCATATCACGACTGCAGACACATATCTTTTCGCAAATCATATGAACATTATATCAATAATAACTGTAAGACGTTTGACGCTATTATGAATGCATTCAAAGTAAGTATTTATTAATAGTCTCAGGAATTAAATATT